TGATAGAGTGGAGTTGTGCAGTCACTAGGTTAGCTGGATTTCTTTTATAAATTGAATTTAGATTTTAATATTTATTAAAATGCTAGGTTCCTCCCCAGTCCCCTTTCACTTTGACTTTACTAGATTTGATGATCCTCAAACCCAATCATAGTACAGTGACACCAATTTTGGAATTGGTGCTAACGCTACTAAATAGAACCAAGGTGAGGCTAGTCTTAGTGGTACCTTTAGATTTTAAATCATCTAGAAAAATAACTAGCAATTGCTGAGAATATTTTACACTTAGGGGCGTTGGGGAATGTTAGGGATGACAATTTTTCTTATTTCTTCGATTCCTGTAGGGATCCGGTCCAATCGGACAGGGATGGGGTGATTCCCCCCTGCGGGAATGGGGATGGGGAAATTTTCATCCCCGTTAGCAGGATATATGTATATATGTATGCATACGTTATATATGTATATATACGTCTATATATTAATATTTTAAAAATATAGTTGAATATGTTTAAATATTTTTTAATAGATTGTAAATTTTAATTATTTCATTTTTATTTTTTAAAATAAAATAAAAAACAAAAACAAAATGGTCAACATTATAAAAAATTACGGGGAATGGGGATCCCCACCCCATGGGGATAGGGATAGGGATAACCTTGTCCCCATTAACGGGGATGGGGATGGGGATTTGCACAGGGATGGGGATGGGGAGAGGCTCCCTGCCCCCGCCCCGCCCCGTTGCCATTCCTCGGGAAAGTTGGTCAATGGGATTTTGGTTCCCATTGACCAAGAATCACATGTTCATTTTTGAGATTTTTGTGGGGACTAGGAAAAGTTTATTTCCTAGGTGGGTAAATAACTTTTCCACCTAAGGGGAGGGGGGCGGAAAAAGTTGCTAACACTTGAATGTGACAAAAATGCCCTTTTAATGGATTTTTATGACTAAAATAGTCATTACCTTATTTACCTGGGAAATAAAAGAACATGGGTAAATGTACTTGCCCGGATAAGTGTTTCCTAGGAAAAACTTACCCAGATAAATGTATTTACCCGAGTAAATAACTTACTGAAAAGTGAACGAGACCTTAAAAGAACTATTAGAAAAGGGATTAAATGCAAAGGTAATTTTAGTTATCAAAATAATAATGGCACTGGCCATTTAAGAGGGCATATGCTAAAGCATATTCAACAAGCTCAAAATGAATCAACCCAAACCCAAATTGGATGAGTCTGGACCATTTTCTAATTTTTATAATTTCCAAAAGAAAATGAGACAAATATTAGTTAGATATATAGTACAAGCTGAAAAATATTAGCTAGATATATGAGTCTGGACCATTTATGTTTGTTGAAGGTAATAGATTTGAAAATTTTGTACAAATATCAATTAATTCTACATATAAAAAAAACTTCTAGGAATACAATTAGATTAAATGTTATCAAAAGTTTTGAAATATATAAACAAAATTTATTTTCTACTTTTGGCATATGTTCCTTCTAAAAATTGCTATATTTTTACACTTAAAAGCATTTGTTTTTTTTCAAATGCCACTAAACAGCTAGTTAACAATCAATGGTTAACAGCCAATTAACAGGGGCCAAAGTGGCACTAGCAGGTGAGAATTTTCTGTATTATTAGTTAATTAACAAGTGAGTTAAAAACGATTGGTGAGTTAACCCACGGATCACATTAATTGGATTGAGGACCGAAATCCATGAGATTTTCTGGTTGGTCGTCCACGACATCCGGTAGCTGGCCCTTTGAGGAATAGAAGCTTTGTTTGGCCATGTCCATGTCGCTACTGTGCGGTTATGGCCGATTCCATCAGTGTTCACTGGTTGTCAAAAGGAACACGGGGATGAAAACAATCAATAATTCGTCTTCTCTTGATGCATTGACAATAGACGACAATGATTAATGAAAGAAAGACCCGTTCTACACTTTTCTGTTCCTCTTCTCACTCTTCTTTCTTTGGTTTGTCAATTTTTCAAAGCCATCTAGAAACAGAGTAGACATGGAGTATTGAAAATTCTCTCTTGGGTTATGGTAGTTTGAGAATCATGGACAGTTGAATTACCCTTGCAGAACACACAAAGAAATGGGATATTCCTGTAGATTGATACGGCTGTGTTTGTTTTCAGTGCAAATGCGAAAAACTTCACTTTTCGCATTTGCCTGTGTTTGTTTTAAGTGTAAATACAGAATGACCAGATGTAATACAGATCGGATGTAAATGTTCCAACGATCCACTAAAATTTTAAACCATCATAGAGTTTTACATCGATGAAATTTACAGAGAAAACAAACGCAGCCTAAGAAATAGAAAATAGGTTGATAAGTTCACTTATTAATTGAAGGGTAAGAATAAAAGAAGAAAGCAATAGTAGTTCAAACCATCATAAATGGGTTGTGATCTAAATCCATCACATTAATTGATGAACATTAAGAGGCTCTGAAATTAGATTCATAAACATTTCAAATGGATGATCATCGAAGTCCACAACTTCCTTTACCAGAGACGATCAGAAGATGAGGACAACCAAATTTCTGATTCAGGGAAGATGGGAGATGGTTGGACCTCGGGTAGGAAAGGAAACAGATGGACCAGTGGTTTACAACTACAATTGGAGATTTAAACTGGACTCAGAATCACTTTGCACTATCTACTACGTCATAAGCAGAACCATTTGACAGGGCTTAACAGCACTGCTACGTGATTTTGCAGTCGTACCCATCAAACAAAAATCCAAGAAACTGATATAGTTTTAGGAGACCCAGATGGTAAACATGAAAACACACCCATCAAACCAAGCGAAGATCATGACTTGTGGCAACAAAAACGACTTACAAGGAAGAAATCAATTTGTTTAATAGAAAGAAAATGTAACAGAAGAGCCAAACTCACAAACCACACAAACAGGAATGCAAGCATTAAACCTCTGTTTCAAGATTGATTGATCGATTTGAGGGGGAAGAGAACAAATGAGGGGCGGCAACGGGTTACTCTGGACACGAGCTGACGAGCCTTCCACTCTTCCAGAGCCAGAGCCAGACGCCGCTTTTCCCACTCCCCCAAACTTCACAAGAACCCTAAAGCTACATTTTTATAGTCACGTTTCAAGGGCCGTGGTGGGCCTTTAACAGGTAACAGCACATTGGCCGATCCTTGCCCTTTGTGTTGAATTGAAAATTGGGCTAGGTTAACAGACTGGATCTGGATCCACAAGATCCTTGCCCATTTCTTGCTATGTTTCAAATTTACGAGGATTTAACACTAGGATTTGATAGGTTCCACCAACGGAATTAGCATGCTTCTCACACAGGACACTTCACACCGACCTTATAGGCACATCCCACCATGCATTGGGAACATTTTTCATACTTATAGGTTATTCTCTATCCCAATATGTGCCTGTGAGGTGTCCTATGTGAGGAACAGATCCCAATTCCAATATTAATAGTGGAAAACCAATAAAAGATGGTCACATCATTCCTCCATGTGGGTGAAATATGAGACCAGATCTGCTCCTCACACCTGGCGCCTCACAGGATCCTCACATGCACATCCTACCATGCATTGGGAATATCTTCCATACTTATTAGTTATTATTCATGAGTGATATTCCCAATGCACGGTGGATGTGCCTGTGAGGTGCCCATTTGTGAGAAACAGATCCCGGCTTGTGAAATATTCTGTTGTGTAGGTAAATCCTCTATTGGGAATAATTTATCCAGATGGACAAAAATTGTGGCCATCAACTGTATTTGGATTGGAATTTTTTCTCCATTAACAATAGACTTCTAATTTTTCTATTTAATATTCAGATGACCATAAAAAGTGTTTATCTAGAATAAGTGGCGAAATCTGTTGGCAGATTATTTATTTATTTCACATGAACTTGAGAATTGGGAAGAACCTGGACCTGCTCTAGTGCTCTTAACATCAAGTTCGTATTTCCTCACAAAATTGCTCCACACCCACCCTCACAGCCTTTATAGCCGGGAACATCTCTATACATGTATGTTTTTGCCCATTGGGAAATGTTCCAAATGCATGGCTGCAAGTGATGTGGGATGGGTGAGAGGACCAATTCTGTGAGAGAAAATGCAGATAACTTTATAATTACAATATATATGCTTTTATAGATGCAAATATATTATATCTCCATTCCACATGCAATCAAGGACTTCCCCTTTCTTGGATGATGTAGCTATGGCAGAGTTTCCAGCTGCAGTATATGGGGTTGAAAAGGCCAAAGAGCTGGGGATTAACAGACTGATCATCGAAAGAGACTCAAACTGTGATAAAATGGTTGCAAAAAGGGGAAGGAGTGGCCTGGCGGCTGAAGAATGATTTCAGAAGGTTCAAATGGATGTCAAGGAATATGTTTATTCAGATGGTTTGGGTTGGGAGATCTGCCAACAGTTTGGCTGATAGTTTAGCAAAGCAAGGGGTTCAAAGAACAGATATGTTTTGGGCACATTTGTAATTCTGTCCCGGATCAGCTTCTATGCTGATTTCTTTGCAACTTCTTATCGTATATTAAAGCATCTTAATGAAAATTTTCAGAGTTATTGATAAAAAAAAAGAACTTCCCCTTTCTCTTAAGTCTACAGGCTTGACCGATCAAAACCCAATAAAAAGAAAAATATTTAATACAGTGGTTGAGCTTGAGCAATAAGCACATGAGGTCCAACTTATCTAATACAATCCGGGCATCCCCCAAAACATGGGAGAGGACAATAGCCACTCAGGAGTCAAGTCTCCACAGACCCTTTGTAGGATGTAAGCAGCGTAAAATTGTAGTCTCAGCTATGATTCTATGAATGCTTAGATCATTATAGAAATCTATATATAATCTAATTCAATGTTTAATGCTTGGCGAAGGATATGGGAAAGAACCACATGTTTCATTACAAATTTTAATAGTTGAGACTAGAGAATACAACAAAGTGCAAAAACTTTTAACCAGACAAAAAAAAAATATGTTGAAAATTGCAGTTGATAACAGAATGGTAATGGCTTCAATTAATTGATCATTCATTTCAATGCAAGGAACACATTTTAATATACATTAACGTATGTATATTCACACAAGAATGGGAAAATCCCCTCACAAATCATCTGCAAATTCCTCTCAAAATCAAAAAGACTATGGGCTGCTTAAGCTAAACAAGAAAAAAATGAAATAATGGGGAAAATAAACAGAAGCTCACTGAAAGCAAATAAAAGTTAAAAAATGTTAAATAATTGGAAAAAAGAACGCCATAGACATGGAGAAACTTGAAGATAAAACAATCTCAACCACACAGGAAAAAAGGAGGCACTTGACAAGAATGGACTGCAAAACCTGTACAAGGACAAAAATAATGGCGGCATTATAATGATGTAACTGGGAAATTATAGTCTTTAGCATATGTAGAAAACAGTTGGTACCTGGGAATGATATTCAAATATTCAATCATTTTCTGGTTCAAAATTCGTTAAGTGTAGGAACAGGAGCATTTGGCTTAATCAACTATTTGGTACAAATGCAGCCAAGGCATTAGCATATGCAGGTGAAAGATTGCTCAAGATGGGTTGCAACTGATGGCCATAGAGGGAAATCAGGTGAGAGAAAGCCCTGCCAACTTGACCTTTAACTTCAGGAGTCTCAGCAGGTGATGCCACCACTTGAGCAAAAAGATTAACCAACTCTGGGACTAGAGATAGGATCTGCTTAGATTTCCAGGAAGACAATAAATGTTAAACTATGAAGAACATCTTTTGAGAATTCAGATACAGTAAGCATCAATCTAAATGAAACATCAGAGTATCACTCGTACATGGGGATTAGAAGATAATACAAGATTACAAACACAGCTATATACAGCCATAGACTCCTCTCGATCTTCTTTCAAAGGCAGAACTCTCAGAAAAACAGGGAGAACCTAGTAATTGAAAGGGGGATGGGGAAGAAAAGAAATGCAAGCCCATGAGATTTAGATTTAGAGTTAGCGCTGAAACAGAGAAGAAATGAGGTGACCAAAAAAATAACCTGGTTCAAAGGGATAGACTCAGGGTGCACCATGATCATCCTTGCAACCGCACCAGCAGCATTATCTCTTACAGCATCATCTGGTTCGGATTCTCCAAATAATGGGTAAAGTCCATGAAGTATACTTGAATAGTATCTTGTCAACATGAAAGGGAAAAGCTTTGACAAGAAAAACAGAATGACATATAAGCATATATTTATAGCAAAAGGACAGCTTCAATGCCCATGCAAGTATTGACAAGATTTGTTAGTGATAAAGCTTTAAACTGGTTAAAAAAACACTAAACCCAAAAGAAAGCAGGAAAACAAAAGATGGTTAGCATGAAATACTGTGACCAAATTGATGAAGGAAATTATAGTTGAAGATTTGACAGCATAACCATCAACTTTTACAGAACAATGAAGTTTGTTTCACAAAGGATACTTCAGGGTTGGCTCCCCACCATTTCTACATAATTCACCCACACAAAATGCAGCATTCCTTCTATTAGTTGCCTCTGATGATGCTAATTCTTTTAACACCAAGGGCATTACATTCTGCAACACAACTTAATTACTCAGATGGAGATGCATGTAATCCAGCATGCAAAGAGACATGGGGATGATGGAGGTCAATTTTGTTTTGTATAAAACTCTTACATCAACATAGCCTGCAATTGGAGAGCCCATTTCTTGGGCAACTTCAGCAAGGCAGGCAACAACCATGGTCCGATCTTGTGGTGGGCGTGAAGCTTTCTGTATTCATTAACATAGGTGACAGGTCATGCAATAATGAGATGAAGAGAAGATCAGCTGAAAGATTAAGAAAAATTAAAAAAAAAAATGTTTTCTATGGTAACTCACTGCAAACTTCATCAAGGGTCCAAACAGCTCTGCAAATATGGGTCCAAACTGAGACCCCATGGATTTTGCAAATGCAGGAAGGAGATCAGATACCGCATCCATGAGTACTTCATCGTGTTCAGTGTCCTCATCCTCAATGTCACTATCAGACTCTGTATGTTGACAAGCTGAATCTTCCCGAAGTAGTACTAATGTTGCATCAACAAGCCTAGGGAAATCTGAAACCAGATAGTGTAAATACCAACTTAATCAGACTTGCATCAGAAAGCATACTTTATTTAAGAAACAGGCATGGGTAAGGACACTTAGACTGACAAGGCTCAAGAGACATGTATTCATTTTCTTTGATGATATCCGCTATATTCTCACAGGCTTGAGCAACTACTTCCTTATCATCATCTTCAGTCATTGTCTTGATGTAGATATTCATCACAGTATCTACAAGTCATATTGAATTGGATAAACCATACCAGAAAGAGGAATAAGCCTACCAAAGAACACATTACAAGCTATTCAAGAACCAGGAAATGGTTGTTTTCATACCAAGAACTTCTTTTTCCTTTGTTGACCCTTCCTGCAAGAAAAAGGACGAGAAGCTTTTAATAGCAAATCTACCATCTGTGGTATATTTCTTTTTTTTTTTTCATAACCCCAAATCAATTCCATAACTATAAGGGATTGTATCTATGTTCTAATAGAAAATAAATTCCAATTTCAAAATTTACAGCACAGTCAAGACTATATAGTCAAAGCAAAGCATTCTGTTGGATGGCAAGCTTATGATTAAGAGTACCAAGAACAAATTCCCCTCTCAACCAAAAATAGCCTCTTCTATTTATTTATTTATTTGAGGGGGAAGGCAGTACTGTCAGAGTACACTCACATTGTGACCTTGGAAGACTGCCTGTGCCACTGTTAACATATCTGCATCAAAAACATGATTTTAACAGAAGGTTCTAGTCAGTAGCATAAAAGGAGTGCAGGTAAGGGAGTAAAAGCCATCTTAGCAGATGGCATGGTTATTTATGATTGGAATTTTAGGTGTCTGTCACCAATCCATCAACAAAATCAATGACCAACTCAACAAAAATTCAAGTTATTATGTTTTATTGTTACCTATAAACAAACAGAATCTTATCAATTTCAGTAGTATTTATATCAAAGCTTCCAAACATCATTAGAAAATTATTAATTGCAGATCACACCAAGAATGGTATCACCAAAAACAAAGGATCCTGAATTGACATAATAGCTTAGGAGAAATGAAATCATATCCATCTGGTTCCTACATGAATATTTGTCTTTATTAATTAACAAAATAACCTAGGTGACCACCACTACAGCTAGTAGTTGCTTCTCTAAGGGCCAATATAAGCTACATTATATTATCAACATGACATACAACAAAAGCCAAATACCAACAGATAAGGAGTCTGAGAACTGGACCCCTTTTGCCTATCCTACATATCATTAATAGGGATTCACAGTAAACTGATTTTGGTTACAAGATGGCCAATTCAAGGAGATGATTATATCATAACAACTAAGCTCCAAGAAAATCTGCAGCATTTGGCACATCAATGAGTTCAAGAGGAACATCAAAATAATTCACAGTACAGAAATAATATGGAATCAATTGATGGACAGTGATTGCTACTCACGTTTCAAAGAAATAATAGCCTGAAGCCGAACATCCTCATGAAAGTACCCAGAATGCCTCACTAATATCCGTAATGACTCCTCCAAATAACTTAAGACAATTAAAGAAACCCAATGATGATTTATGTAACTTTTTTTTAGTGTAAAAATATGAGATAAGAAAAAGGATACGGAGCATATGAACTCTTTGTATGCAGTGCAAATAAGCCAATGGCCTGAGTTGCTGCCGCCTTTTCATCCAAGACTCCTGTCCTTATACTAATATTGCGCATTCTTGGTTCATTATGAGCATCATCATCAGAAGACACTCCACCAAATCCATTAACACTTTCATCACCATCAGAATCATCAATATCTACTGCAGATCCATCATCTAGATTGCATGAAGAAAATGCAAGGGGAACAACATGCTGAAGGTACTGTAACAAAAAAGACTTTCTATTACCTACATTTAACATCACAAGGAAAAGTTCATAAAAATTGGCATTCAAATCTAATTGGACAAAGGATAGGTATACCTGCACAAAACCATCATCTAAAATATCTGCAACATTGCTGAAAAATCCATGAGTGTATTCTTTAAGTTCACTGAATTCCAATCCAAAACCCTGAGAAAATAATTGACATGAATCATCCATCAAGACAATTTTATGCCTGCCTGCCAAGTGAAAGTGTTTTTTGTTTTTTGACAAGTCCAGCTAAGTGAAAGTGTTCTAAAAGAGAATTACAGAAATAGCTGCTTCAATAAAAGGAGGTAATATTGGCTCCATCCTAGTTCTTCCAACAGCCATTGCAACGATGCCAACTAGTTCAGTTGCCCTTGCTCGTGAGCGGAGGTCTTCATCATTGGTAAGCACCATGAAGACCTTCATCAACTCAAGAACCCTCTCAGCATATGGAATGAAGGCTTGTTCTGCAGCAGATGCTACAGAACCAATGGCAGACTGCAATATAATTATCAAATGCCAGAACAGCCAAAAGGTCAGCCAAGAAAAATGAAGTCAAATTGGGATTGTTTCCTAAAGCACTAAAGTTGAGCAATTTATACCATGCATGTCTCCTGCAAATTACGAGGATTATTTTCAAGTGCTGCAAGCAATCTCCCCATCAAAGGATCAAGATAAGGAAGTATTTCTTCACCCATGTTTTCACAAAATGCTGCCAATGCATAGTATGATTTTTCCTGGTAAAAGACCAGAGTTAAGGGCATAAATCCATATATAGAGTTTCCTTAGCAAGTAACCAAATTATTCTTCCTATCTTTACCTTTACTTCATCAGAAGCATCTTCAACGGCATTTAAAATGCATGGAAGAACACTTTCATAGTGAGATATAATTTCAGGCTGCAGGTGCTCTGCAAATTGACCTAATGCAAATGATGCAGCCCCTCTTACCAATTGTTCTTGATCCTTCAAAGCTCCAAGGGTAATATGAAGCATAGGTTCCAATTTATCTATCATTAACTCAAAACATCCTTCTGATACAATGCCTAAGGCTGTCACTGAAGCTTCTCGATACTTTGGATTAATGCTTTGAATGCTTAATGAAGAAAATTCAAAAACAGGAGGAAAAACATGCTTTGGAAGATTTACAGCCATTGTGTCAAGAACTTCCGCAGCAGCTCTATCAGCTGCAAGATCATCATCCTCGTCTCCCTGACTTGTTTCTGCAAGTAAAGGGCATATAACTTGTAGAATGGGTATAACCAGCTTATGCTTTTTCAGGGAATTGTACTTATACTTTGCAAGCCATGAGATTATCTGAATAGCCTGGTACATTAAAAACGGAGGAAACAGTTGAGGAATCTAAATGATGGGAAAAGTTAGAGAATGACAAATGACACTGATTTTTGAGAATCTCATCTAACCTGATGCCGTGTATTTGGTTCCAAATTTTGACTGGAGCAAACCTCAAGAGAAAAGTGAACTATTGATTTTACAGATTCCCCAAGAAGAGGTGCAGGAGATTCAATGAGCTCATCAAAAATCTCAAAAGCAATTGTAGCTACATCCTCCTCGCCATTGGCAAGGCATTGCCGTGATACATTCAAAATGCTAGGAATGAATTCTCGAAATTTAACCTATATATGAATTGCAGAAACAGATGGTAAGATATAAAAAACAAGATTGTTTTTGTTGCTGCAGGAAATCATGTAGAGATAAGACATTTTTATTGATAAATAACAGAAGATTTTCAGTAATCAAAATAAACTGTTCACTGTGCAAGCAGAAATAGAACAAGTACACTTCAATAAAGCAGAAACAATTTCCCCACCACACTACCAAGATTCCTTTTCTACAAATTACAACCTGTTCCAGGGCCCCAATGCAGAACATCCCTCCCCCACTATCTCTTGCTAAAGAATCTGCTAGCATTTTTGCGCTTCTAGGGACCCATCTGAACGAGGCATTCTGGGAGGAACATAGTGAAACAGCCAGTCTTACCAAAGCCTTAAATTCTCAATGTATTTGTTCCTTTTTTTTTTTTTTATCAGCAACTTAAAGAGATGTATTAGAAATTAAAAAGAGGATAGTATAACAAGAAGTTGTTAGAGATAACACTCAATACAGCAGAGAGTCCCACTACCCAACTACATTGAACCCAATGTCCATTCACGCCTAGTTTAGCTAAGCCATCCACCAAACCATTAGCAGACCTCCTCACCATCTTAACTGGATTTGCATGTCTTGACAGCAGCTTGAACCACCTGAGATCATTTCTGAATTGGCATAATACCCCTTCTCTTTTTTTCAGCCAGCCAATGACTATTTAGAATCTCCTACTATTAATCTTGCAATCCCCATTTCCTTGGCTTTTTGCACCCCAAAAATAGCCGCCAAGAGCTCAGCTCTCACTGAATGACCATTCCCAGTAGGCCCCGAAAACAAGTCGCAAATGATCCCACTCCCATCCCTAATTACTCCAATTCCAGAAGGACCCGGATAGCAAAACTACTTCCATCGAATTCAAGTTTCATCCAGCCTTCACTTGGGGGAAGACCAAACCTCCAAGACCTTTTGATTCTTGAGCTACAGTTTCGGAAAAAGTCCACTGAAAAATCAGAAAAAAGCTTCAGAGTCCTCACCCAATGTATTTGCTCTTGACCTTTCACCCAGCAAATAACCAATTGACAGTCTCCCTCCACTATTATGTTCCTTAAATGCTGTTGGTGCAGCCAAGGTTCAAAATATCGATACACCCAATACGCCGGTAGATGCGTATCAGAGTGTATCAATAGCTGTTTTTTATTTTTTTTCAGTCTTTTTTTTCAAATCTGGTTCAGAGGGGCCAGTTTAAGGTCCTCCACCCCGTGAACCGGTCAAGAGCCCGAAATACCCCCTGTAGGGGCATATCGGGAATCCCCCAATACGGCCCAATACATATCGATATTTTGAAACTTGGGTGCAGCAGCTTTAAACCCTGAATTAGAGCCAACGATTCGGCTCTCAGAGGCTTCCCTTGTCCCACTGGGCCTGAAAAACTCAGCATAGCATTGCCTTCATGATCTTTAACAACACCCCTACATCTGATGGCCCCAGATTTCTGATACAGAACCCATCAAAATTGAACTTGACCCTCCCACATTCTGGTGGACCCCAACCCAGCATCCTAGCCTGTTTACTTCTTTGCAAGCCCGCTACTGTTTGCTAATCCCTAATCAAATCAATAAAACTATAAAAAGCACTTCTTTAAATTCTGACGCCACTGAAACCCAATGCACCACTCTTATCTTTGGGAGTTCTATCAGCTTCTCCACCTGTTTATACTTTTCTTCAAACAGCCTTACATTTCTCTTACACCACAACCCCCAAATAATCCCTCACATGAGATGATTTTTTACTTTTTTTTGCCTTCAAGTACATGGACCCAAACAATCTGTTTTGAGTAAGTCCAACACTTCAGCAGGTGCCTCCCAAGCTCTACCTATCAAAGAGGAGTCCGGATCTCATACCAACAAAACACGTGCCAACCCCCTACCAACATGATCTAACACCGCACATCTCATTTATGGTGGGTTCCAGTCTCATGGTGACATGTGCGGTGTTAGATGAAGTTGGTAGGGGGTTGGAATGTGTTTTGTTGGTGGGAGATCCCAATTCATCAAAGAGAGGAAATGATGCCATAGCTGTTATGCAAATTGGCAAGACATTAACAAATTGTTTGTAAACTGACCCACTCTTCAGGCACAAGACACACACATGAGGGGAAGATACCAACCTTTTAACTTCCTTTGGAGTTTCTCACAGGAATTAATGATTTGATTAGCAGCTTCCCAACAGAAAACCTTGACTTTTGGGGGTACTGGGCTATATCATACCTCTTTTACAGGAAAGAAGCTTTCATCGAAAGATGGGAGAAAAGTTTTAAGAAAGAATGCACAAGAAATGAAGAAAATATGCCCTTGACATTGAGTGTCCAAATTCTCTCATCATTCCCTGAAAAAGAAAGGTTGAGCTCTTTAAGGGGGTAAGCAAAGGAATCAACTCACTAGCTTCCTGATCCCTCAAAGGTCTTCTCAGTCCCAGAACCCAGCCTAACCCATTACTCTCCAAAGTTACCATTTCAGTAATTGGTTTGTTTTTGGAATTGGACAGGATGTAAATTCTAGGAAAAGATTGACACAAGGGATAGAGTATAAGGCCGGATAAAGCAGCAGACGCCTTATCTTGCAAACAAGAGCTCTCCATTCTAACAGTCTCAAAACCACAGTACCCACTACTGGACATTCTTAAACAAGAAGCCCAACACTGTCACATCCATGGACCAAAAAAAATGCCAGACTCCTTCCCTATGATTGTGTGCAATACATACTTTTGCTTCCAAAGATAATAGTTACTTCCTTTCAAATACTCCAAAAGATTACAAATGAAGCCAAGTTTTGTACCATCTACTGGTGGAACTTTTAACTGGACACGCATGAATAAGTGAAGATACATTTTTCCCAAAACAACTCATTGCCACCATGAAATTATACAAAATGCTCCAAAACTTCCAAGGATCATCTACAATGAATTATAATGGGAGTGGGAGAGAAAATCTTTCAAAAATACACAAGGAGCATAAATTCTTATGTCTCCACTGAGATATAAACAGATCGACTTCCCTTTTTTTATCAACAAGTTATGTCCATTTGAAAAGGAGAATAATTGGAAACCAGTATCATATCCAACACTATGGAAAGTATGAATCTTTCCACCAATAAGATTAAGAGAGGGTTTCAGTGAAAATACAGATCCCACACCTTTTGTCCGCCCATCTAAAAGATTTCTTTGTCTTAAATAGCAAACCAACATGGCAACAACTCCACACGATTATCCTTTCCCTGTTATCGATATGCCACCCTTAAATGGGGACACCAGGCCACTTCACCAAACACCACTTTAGACCAGTTCCAGACAGCCAAATCCCTAGTTACAGTCATGTCATGCAACAAAAGAGAATGCTTCACACAAGCACCAACCACCAGAAAGTATGTTCTCCCAGAAATGTACCCACTTACCCACCCCTGCCTAATCTGTCTTTGGTAATCAATCCTGTAAATGCTTCAAAATACTTTATCAAAACTCAACAACCAAACAGTTCTAATGCAAGGAAACCAACTGTTGTTCTGTACACACACACTTTTGAGAAGATATAAGTGTATGTAAAGCTGAAAGTCGGGGCTTTTTTAATAATGAAGTTATTAAAAAATCTTCTCATTTACCCTGAAAATCAGGTTAAATATGTCATTAATCATCAGATGATTTAATTTATAGCTTGATAGTTTACGATTACCATGTAATCACATAAAAATATGTGTAGTTATAATGTATTATGTAAACACACTATACATTATAACCAACCCTTGGCAGTTTGATAACAAATCAGAAGAAAAATATCATCAGTTTAAGCATTGAACAATGGAACTGAACTGTAGATTTGCAGTAGAATGATCTCCGTTTATGATTAGTGGATTAGATCTTAATTGCAAATTTGTATTGTGATTAGTCACAGACAAAATTTTCTTTCCTCTTCATGGGACTTTAGTTTGATCATCATACTTCTATATTATTTCATGGATCTAGAGAAGCATTCATCCTCATTGATGTAATCATCAAAACTTTAAACCTACTCTCCTGAACCAATCATCTTAATTCAGCATGAGACCCCTTATTCGAGCTATGCAAAACCATATCTATAGCAGTGTTTTAAAAGTGCAAGACGCAAAAAAAGCACAAGGGCCAATTTGTGCCCAAGGCACAAGACAAGGCACGCGCCTTTTTGAAGCAAGGCGCAAAAATACAAAAACAATGCTAAAAATAAAAAAAAATGTCAGAAAATTCAAAAAAAATGCCAAAAAATTTTAACAAAATGCAAAAAAATAAAAAAAATATAAAACATGATGTTAATAAAAAAAATATAAACTTAAATTTTAAAATAAATGTTTTAATAAATCTATTACCTAAATTCTAAAATTAAAATATATAAACATAACATGTAAAGCATATTCAAATGAAAATTTAAAAATAAATGCAAACATATAACGCATTTTCAAGCATGTAAAACCCACAATCTCTGTTTTTTCCTCAATTGCATTACTTCAAGTAGCTAATGTGATGTAAAACATATTGCATTCTTGATTCTATGAGTCGCCTTTGTAGCACGCCCCTCGAGGCAAGCCCAAACAAGTCCATGTTTCTCACATAAACAATAACAATTTTATAACTTTAATTGCCTTTTAAGAAGATATTTTGTTGGAATGAATGAATGAACAACATTAGCAAATAGGGGGTTCTCGAAGCTTCGGTGAGCGTTGAAAGGGGTGTGCCTAGGACCTGGGTGAGGCGCATACCCTAAAATGCGCCTCGTCTGTGCGCCTAAGCGCACCTTTTAAATCACTTATCTATAGGATCTTCTGGTCAAAAAAAGTACTCTAATCAACCCATGGTCTATCAATTCATTTAACACTGAACTATCCAATAGATGCATCTTAATGTTTGGCCCATTTCACTTGGAAAAAATGCTTTAGCATTTAACCATATGTAAAATTAAGATTTGGTTAACATGACAGACATGAAAAAAATCCAGTCACAAACCAGAAGTTAAGGAACACAGAGCAATAAAATTAAGTACACAAGCAGAACCAAAAAAACCACCTTAAGATTATATATGAAAATAAGATCATCCTACCATTGTGCAAAAGTAGACACAAGGAAATAAGAATCTAAGAAGCTTTAACAAAAGAAGACATTGTGAAAGCTCCTAGCAAAAGTAGACACAAGAAAAGCAATAGCAATGCAACAAAATTGAAAGTTTACCACTTCAGCCCCATCATGGGTGAACTCTAGAAAAGAACCAACTGCCCTGAGAACAAGAAAAGAAGTTTGAGAAAAGCCCAATACCCACTAAACAATGATAGACACAATATTCTTAAACAAAAAAAAAAAAATTCATGCTTAAGAAAAGAATAAGATTACTTGAGTGCAGCAACTCTGACACGGGTACTGGTCTCATCCTGAAGGCACTTGAGCAGCAGAGATTGGAGATCTGCAAAATATGGTTGAAATGTACTGCCAATTGTTTCAGTTAAGGAGCTGAAAAGGATCAATGCCACCTTATATCACCAAAAAGCAAGACATCTGTTAGGTCACTCACATTTTAAAAGAAAACCACAGAAATGATTAAAAAAATACTTGCAAAGGTACCTAAATGTAGACACTAAACATAGATAATGAAATATTTTTTTGTAATAAAATGATATTGGTAGAATGGTAAAATCTTGGTCTGACAAGCATGAAATATTGGTTCAAGCTTGAGAATAGCCATTTTGTGCTAAAAACGCTGGAGGTTAAACATGTATCCAGTCCATCCTCCCAATACCCAGACAGTTATAACCAGAATTAGGCGATAGGCTTCTACAAATGACGCAACTATCATCCTTAATGAGGTTAAGGATCAAACAGAATTGTTGTTTTTTCCCATTTGGAAAAATATAAAACCAATAACGTTATTTTGTAAAATTCCATTGTTATAAATTAGCCCCTCAAAAATGAAAAAGCAACCTTATATATGTATATTCAATACTTGACAATGCATCAATTGACATTAGTTGTTGATATGCTATGCTGCAGGTATTGGTTGCATATTCATTCCCCATTTTGCTAGCCTAAAGGAGAGCTCAATGAACAAACAAAAAAAATTAAAGAACTTTATTTGAGTTCTCAAATAAATGAATTCTTTAAAAAAAAATCAAATAGCCTTATTTCCCCTATTTCACCGAAACCAAGATTGACATTAAAAGCACCAGCTAGGAATCAATGAAGTTAACTTGGGAATGTTTGTATGTGCTTTGTGATTTTTTTTTTTTTTTTTGAAAAAGGTAAGGTAAATTTATTAATAGAAATCAGAATCATACAAAGGCCTCCCAGAAGGGAGCAAAGACTGAGAACAGCCTCTCAGTTTACATTACAATTCAAATATACTAACAGAACTTAACTGAGACCCCAAGACCCCAGGCTGTATGCCTTTTACACCTGCAGTCCAGGATACAAGCTTTCCCACTGCACCAGACACAAGACAGTCCGCCTCCTTTTTTCTTATTCTGAAAGATTCTTCTGTTTCTCTCTACCCATATGGAACTGATAACAGCTGCAGGGATAGCCCACCACACAATTCTAGCCAGCTTAGAAAGGCCTAACAAATCCCAACTCCTCAGCAGACCTGAAAACTGATTTGGCATGACCCAGGAAATACCCTCCAATGAGAGAAAATGGTTCCAAATTCCAGCCGCAAAAGGACAATGGATAAAGAGATGATAGTTGTCCTCCTCTGCATGCCCACGCAGCTCGCACATCATGTTCTGAATCAGAATTCCGCTTTTTTGTCAAATTTTGTTTAGTTAGATTTTTGTCCAATACCACCACCCACAGCAGTGCATTCACTTTGAGAGGAGGAATCTGAGTCCAGATTCTAGTAGCAGGAAAGTTATCCAGACCTTCACTAGGGCAGAACTTGACTAGAGAGCAAGTCCAACAGGTTCACCACTTGTTCCACTTCCCAATCTTGGAAAGGTCTTCTGAACTTAGGGCTCATACAATACTATTCCCCATCAGCTCACAACAATTTGTCACCATAACATCCGGGTTCTCTACAAATTGAAACAAGTGAGGGAACAGCTCTTCAAGGGACCTATTGTTACACCAATTGTCTTTCCAAAATTTCAAGCGAAGACCTGAGCCCAACTTAAGGGACAAACCACTTTGAACCAAAGGGTAGATTTCCATAATTTTCTTCCAAAGAGAGCAACCCAAGGAAGGAAGGGTCAAGGTTGTTGTCCAATCCCCTCCATCTGTTTTATACTTGTCTGCCATTAAAGACCTCCACCAACTAGTTCTTTCTCTAGCAAATCTCCAAATCCATTTACACATAAGAGCTTTGTTAAAAGTCTTAAGATTTCTCACCGCTAAGCCACCTCTTTCTTTCGGAGTACACACTTGTTTCCAACCAAGTGTATTTTCTTTTCCTCCTCTCAGTCCTTCCAAAGGAAATTTCTTTGTAGCCTTTCTATTTTGATCGCCACTTTGGTAGGGATAGGGAAGAAAGAGAGGAAATAGGAGGGGAGGTTAGACAGAAAACTCTTTAGAAGAGTGATTCAACTCCTTAGCTTTCTGGACTCCTTCCATAACTACAAAGATCTCAGCTCTAAGGGAGTTACCCACTCCAATTGGGCCTGAGAACATGGCAGAAATGACCCCATTCTCATCCCTAAAAACACCCCAAATCCCCGATTGTCACGGATTTCCCCTACTACACCCATCAAAGTTTAATTTCAAGAATCCAACAGGTGGAGGGGTCCAAGACACACTCATTACTAACTTGGTATGTGTGCAATTTGCAATTTCACCCCACTTCCTCAACATGTCATCCACAGTGTAATCTGTGAATAGCTCCAAAGATTTCAGCCACTGTACAGCCCTAATACGTATGATAGCCCTCAGATCTGCTGCTCCTCTCTCATATTCTGAGAATATCCTAGAATTTCTTTCTTCCCAAAGTGTCCAACAGGGAAAGGGGGGAAAGTAGGACTGGTGGACTGACTTAAGACTTTGAAGAARGAAGCACAAGAAAAGATGCCATTGGGGGTAGGTGTCCAAATTCTAGAATCTGCCCTAGTGGGGTTTAAGACAACGTTATCAAGAAGTGCAGTAAGGCTCGAAATACTGTCGAAGTCTGAGTCCCTCAAGTCCCTTCTTAGACCCAAGTTCCACCCAACCCCAGAAGTGGAAGAGGACGGGGTATTGGCTCATTTTTCAAATCAGATAGAGCATACAAAGAAGGAAACTGATCCTTTAGAAGGGCACTCCCCACCCAGGTTTGTTCCCAAAATTTTATGGAGTTACCGGAATTCAAATCATACTTGATATTAGGGGAGAATACTGGTAGAAGGTCATGAATGGCTTTCTAAGGAGAGTTTCTTGTAATCCTAGCTCTGATTCTAGCGTCCCATCCATTGTGCTCCAGCCCATGTATACTTGCCACTATTCTAGCCCATAGCTTCTCCTTCTCCATAGGGAACCTCCACAACCACTTTCCCAAAAAAGCCATATTCTTTCTCCTAATATTCCCAAGCCCCAAACCACCACACAACTTACTCCTGCACACTATTTCCCAGCTAACTTTATGATCCCTCTTCTCCTCTCTTGGCCCTCACAGGAAATCTCTCATAAGCTTCTCTAATCTGTTAGAAACCTTCACTAGGATTTTAAACACCAACAGGAAAAAGATGGGTAAGTTAGCAAGCATGGCCTTAATTAATGTAATTCTCCCACCAAGAGAGAGGTAGTTCTTTTTCTAGGATACCAGTCCTTTTTCAAATCTTTCCACCACCGGGTTCCAAAAGCTCTCTCTCATAGGATTATCACCTAATGGCAACCCTAAGTGGTTCAATGGCCACTCCGAGACTTCACACCCCAGCACTTCAGCACTCTCCCTGATCTCTCCCTCCTCCATATTCACCCCCACCACACAGCTTTTCCCAAGGTTAACCTTTTTTTTTATGAATGATAATAAATTTATTAACTTAGAAGCAGATTTAGAGTGAGTTCATACAACACCCCAGGGAGAGGTGCGAGTTGCAGCCCCTCCTTGAATCTTATAAGTAAACTAGGAAAGAAAAGCAAGAATCACAATTGAGCCCAAAACAATTCTTCCCTATTTACCCCTTGCTTAGCTAACACATCTGACAAAGTATTTGCTGATCTCCCTACCCACTGTACAGTGACCAACATATTCCTTGTCAACCAACTAAATTTCTTCATTTCATTCTTGTAACGCCACATAGCCTCTTCAAAATTTTCCCAAGGTTAACCTTCAAGTTGGACATTTGCTCAAATAGTTGTATCACCGACTTCAAGTTCCTGATAAAGCTCACATTACCGCCTTCACAAAACAGAATCACGTCATCAACAAACTATGAGTGAGGGGGGTTTCCACCCTCCTAACTCTCCAGCCTCTAATGAGCCCCCTAGAATCTACTCTATGAATCAGTTTCCCCAGTACCTCCGCAATTAGAATGAACAAGAAAGGAGAGAGGGGGTCTCCTTGTCTTATACCCCCTGGAAAGAAATCTACCATTATCCCATTCACTAGCACTAAATAATGACAATTCCGAACACAACCCATGACCCACTTACACCATCTAGCCCCAAACCCAAATTTAGTCAAAACTTTCCTCAARAARTCCCAGTCCACCAAGTCATAAGCCTTTTCCAAGTCCAACTTACAGACCACTCCCTTCTTCTTATCCCTCTTAAAGTTCTCCGCACTCTCATTAGCAATTAAAATCTGATCAATAATTTGTCTTCCACTCACAAAGGTTCCTTGATAATGTGCAATGATATCTAACAATACCTCCTTTAGCCTCGAAGACAACACTTTTGCAATGACCTTATACAAGCTATTTACCAAGCTAATTGGCCTAAAATCCTTCGGGTGGGATGCATCTTTCTTTTTTTGGAATTAAGGCTATAAATGTAGAGTTCACACCCAGATTGACAATTCCTCTCCTGAAAAACTCCTCAAACACCTGCAAAAGAACATCTTTCAATTTATCCCAACAATCCTGATAAAAAGCCATTGTGAACCCATCCGGCCCTGAAGCTTTTGTTCTATCCATAGAAAACACAGCCTCCTTGATCTCTTCCAAATTAAAGCTTCTTTCCGACCTTTTCCTGTTCTCCACCCCTACATCTGGCCAATCCAATCCTTTTACCCACACCCTTCTAATCACATGCCTTCTTAGAATGGATTTGAAGTGCTCCACATAAGCCCCGACTATCTCCTCTTGTTGTATTAAATCAAATCCATCTACTACCAATTTGGAGATAAAGTTCTTCTTTCTCCTGCCATCTGCCAAAGAGTGGAAATACCTAGTGCTTTAGTCTCCCTCTTGCAACCATTTACACGGAGATTTTTGCCTCCAACTAATTTCCTCCTTGTGCAGGCAGTCCTCTAACTGTCTTTTCAAACCTCTCCTAAGTTCATTGTCTTCCTCTCCAAATTCTCCCCTTTCTTCTTTAGAGTCAAGGCTTTCAAATTGATCCATCAGAGTTCCCT